AATTATAACTAGGTTTCCAGAACTCTTGACATTTTCTGTTAATTATTTGCAACTCTAGCAAGCAATCTATGTACAAAAAACAAGACAGTCAGATAAAAATAAGCAAAGTTTGAGGACTAGCTCTTATAGACAGATGCTTCTGTTGCCAAATGGAACCTCAAAGATGAATCTTAGAGAGCCAGATCATCAATATATGTCTTGTATTGGTCTGCATTCCAACAGACCAGATATGGTCTGATCATCTTTCACCACAAGTGAGGTCCACTGTCCTTGTCTGAAACTGAAAATGTTCATTAAATCAAGTGTTTCTGAGTTTGAATATCAATTCCTTTTCCCTCCTACCTTCTTTTCCTTGACCTCCTTTTTTCCTCCTCCTCTGCCTCTCTGAACTACCACCTACTTGATGAAGGTTTTCTCTTTTATTTCTTTTGGAAATTACATGATGCACCAAATTTTCAACATGGTGTCTGATACATAGTTAGTGTTAAATATGTGCTTGTTTTTTCCCCTTTCCATGTAAGAAAACTGGGTAGGGGGGAAACAACCAGCCTGGAGCCTGAGGCACACATTTTCAATGGTCATTAATGTTTATAACATTCATGATCCTTTCTTAGTGTAAATGCCTTGCTATAGTAACAAAAGGAGAAATTAAAAAGAATCACCAAAAGTCTAAGCCAGAAAATGCTCTTTCAATAACAAAGTTGAACTAACACATTAACAGGTATGTTGGTGGCATATACTCTATTGCTGTCATGGAAACTTGTTTATGAATTTCAAGATTTAGTTTCAGTTGTATAGTGCAACTGTATAATTTTGCTAGTTCATGAAAATAGTATTGTTTTGCTTCATTAAGAATTGTGGCGTATAGTGCAAAAAAAACCTGTAAATGAATATGAAAATGAAGGCAGGTGATTAACAACAACAACAACAACAAAACCCTAAAAGCATAGTTTACTAAGTTAGTAGAGGGAGCATGGGTAAAAATGTTGGAAAGGGTGACATTGATCAAGACACATTTCATTCATAAACTGCTTTGTTAAATGGCCACTCCTTTGTACAACTATTTAAAGATAATTTTAAACAAACCAAAATAAATACTACTCCAAAGAACCTTGCTAGAGCTGTATTTACCACACTGAATGGCAGTTATCATAGATCAACATTAGCTCTTAGCTCCAATTAACCACTCAAAAACCAGAAGTGGAACTATGGCTCAAAGTGGTAGAGCTGTAGCACTCGCTGACAGCACCCAGGCACTGAGTTCAAAATTTGCAACCCAAAATAAAAACAAGCAACATGTACTCATCACCTTACTTATGTAACTGTGTCTCAGGAAATAGATCTCATCCAATACCAAACCTCCAAATGTATTCACCTTCACCTGTTCAACCTCCAGAACTATGGATGATTGAACTTGTCAGCCTGATGCATTCTGTCATTCCAGGATGAACAGACATCAATATGGTACCAAGAGATTCTATAGAAAAATAAATTGCTTCTCCGCGGAAGAGAAGGTAATAACTTATTGGACTAAATACACTAAGAAACCAAGGCCCTTGATCATCTCTCACAGGAAATACTTAGAACAATACGTAAGACTTTTTAAATAAGTGAAACCCTGCTTTCAATAGCTTGAACATGGAGGAGTGTGTGTGTGTGTGTGTGTGTGTGTGTGTTTAATCTAACTGATAAGAACACGGTATTTATAGATATAATGTACTAATGAAAACTTTGTCTTCTTTGTTCTCAAGGAAGATTTTGTTTAAAACAATTTGAAGAACTTCCAGAACATTCTTTTTATTTTGTTCATATTACATAAGAATTATATTAAGTAGTAAATGTCCCTACGAAAAGAAAGTGCCAGGTTGTAGTGGTAAACATTACATCAAGCCCAGGAATCAATTACATTATTCCACAAAATATTCTATCACGAGTCATTGGGTCAGATCTGTCCTTGTCCTTCTTATAATATTCTCTCCTTTATGAAAAATCAAAACCCAATTATAATATAATTATTCCAAAAGGAGCAGACAAACTGGGAAGAGAATGGGACATCATGGTTCTACTTCAAGTTTTTGTGTGAATTGGTTTTTGCAAGTTTTCTCTGTTGATTTTCCAATTGTAAAATGACATCTGCCTACCTCAAGCCATGTATGGGAAAATCAAAACAAATCACCCATTTGAAATGCTTCAGTAAAGCTCAAAATACTTAGCAAGTCCAAAACATTATGAAGGATTACAGTGGCATTTGATATTTTCTCAGTCCTAATGAGTCTGTATGTTCTTATAGTTGTAATCTCTCAGGCCATCTAACCAAATCCATGGAATACAGAGATAATTTGTAATGGACTTTTATTAAGTTAAGCAATACAATTTAGAGTGTTTTCTTCAAAGCACTGTTGGCAAGCTAGGAAGACAAGTGGCAGACTTTCTGTATAATGGTGGGCACAGTGGATTGATTTAATTCGTTCAGCAATAATTAGATTACCCAATCCAGTTGTTAAAGGGTAAATAAAACACATGTCTGACTTGCTTGTATCTTGACTTCTACTGATATTTTCACATACATATCGCTTCTAGAGAAAGACATTTTTATACTTAAAAAGGATATTTCTTGTTCAATTGATATTTATTTCTAATTTCATTCTTTGCTCTGCATTTTAAGCCATTTTTTCATTTTTTAAATATTTTTATTGTAAAGATACTGTAAGGAGGGGTTTCAGTTCCATGAATAATGTAATGAGTATATTTCCTATCGAGGATTGTTACCCTCTCATTTGTTTTACCACTACCATCCCTACCCCTCCCTATCTCCCCAACTTATCCCTTCCCCCTAAAGTTGTAAAGTTTGTTTTCAACATAGTGTCTTGTATATATGGCCATATAAGATGATGCTAAGAGAAATGAACCCCAAGATAAGGGCGCAAGAGATTTTTTGTTGCTGTTTTTTCTAAATGTATATGTGATTTTTTTTTTGTTTCTTTTGTATGTTTTTCTCCCTGGTTTAACCCCTGTTGACACTGTCTTTGGGGTTTTTTATTTTTTATTTTTTATTTTTTGCTGGTTGTGGGGCCTGAGTACTGTCCTTCAACACTTTAGCTCAAGGCTAGAGCTCTACCATTTGAGTCACAGAGCCACTTCCAGCTTTCTCTGCTTATGTGGTGCTGAGGAATCGAACCCAGGACCTCATGCATGCAAGGCAAGCACTCTACCACTGAGCCAATTTTCCAGCCATTTTAAGCAATTTTCAAACACTGGGTTTGATTTGATGATAAATAGCCTGTTAAAATCTCCTTCATCTCTCTTTAGGAGAAGCATATATGGAATATTTGGTTGCTATACTCTTGATAAATCAATTCAGCAAATTCCCACTGTTGAAAGCATCAAGAAATTACTAAGAACTAATTGGCTTTGACATTTTACTGAGCAGCTGGAGAGAATGTCTGCCTCTCACATATTAATTATTTCATAAATTCAACTGAAGTGATAAGAACAACATATGTGAATTTTTTTGAAAGATAAATCAAGCATGTAATAGATGACATAGTATTGGATGTCAATATTCTTGAGGTCCATGGTAACATAAGACTTCATGAAGTAAGTTGTGTCTGAAATCTAATTTTAAATGTACATCATTTTATACAAGCGTTAAATGTGCTTGCAAAAAGTGGAAACGAATTTGACCAGTTAAAAACTATGACCAAGATCCTGGGCCACTTGTCTAAAACACAGTATTAGAATATTTTTTAGATAGAAAAAAAATGGATTTAGCTGCTCCATCTCAGCTACTGAGTAGCTAGGATGATAGGAATGGGACATTGAACCTACCATCAATCTGCATTTTTAGATAGCATGGCTTTATCGTTAGCTCATAATAAAGAAAAAAAGCATTCAGCTTTATGTGCTATCAATTTTAAATGATCCTCATTTTAAAAAAGTCTCAATAATCTTAAAGTTGTAATCACAAGAGGCAGAGGCAAAAGACATGCTAGCTACCTCTCCAGTTGCTGGAGTGCAGTGCTATATAATTTTAGTGTGTCACTGTCCTGCTTTTTCATGTCAATCCCAGTTACTTCAATTCCACTTCAAAAGTTTAGCTTTCTTTTCTTTTCTTTTTTTACTAATCAGTCTTTCTCTTCTCTAAACAATGTAGATTCCCATATTTGCGTTTCAGAGCTCCTTTTTTTTTTTTACCATATTTAAAGACTCTTACAATTGTACTTTTAAGAAAATCATTAAATGTATATTATGTGCAGAAATTTATTTCAAGCAATGCAAGATTTGAGCGGGTAGAAGTTGCTCCCAAACTGTGGGAATAAGTACTTTGTCATATAATTAACAGCATGTCTACTAGAATGAATGATTTCAAGATTTAAATGAGTCTTTCTCCCTTTCTCTCTCTCACCTACATACACATACGTGTAACAACACATCATGTAGATATGAGAAAAATGAGAATTAGAGGCAAAATTGTTTTTAAATCCCATTCTAAGTGGTTTAAGATTAACTTGAAGGGCGGGGGTGGGGAGGATGGGAAGGGATGGGAAGGGGAAACAAAGGAGGAGGCTACAATGCTTGATAAGAAATGTACTCATTATCTTGCCCATGTAAGTGTAACCCCTCTGTACAGTATTTTCACAATAAAAAAAGGATTAACTTGAAGTGGTTAAAGTCCTATAAAAAGTCTATTTCATAATCACTTATAAAAATCATAGATTTGGTTACTTATGGACTGCATATAGATCTAAAATTCATCAATAACCAGAGTCAAATACTGTAAAATGGGACATTATGTATATGAAAAGTTATAAATGTATGTATAGCTTTGGCCAAATACCAATTGAATGAAATAAAATTTGTGAACATACTGAATGCACAGTTCAAATTTAGGTATACTTTTTCAGGAAGTTTGCTTGTTTACCATGTAAATCACCTTGAGAAAATGTATTTCTTAAAACAAAGGAAAAATAATTCTAACAATAGGAAAATGATTTATTTACCTGGATCTTCTATAGTTAAGTTCTTTATTAACCATTGAACAATGTCTGACCCTAGAAAAGAAAACAGAAAAAGACAAACAGTTGTGAACATTTAGCTTACACGTCTTAATTTTAAGAACACTCCATTAATGATTCTCATGTTATTAATAATTCAATAACAAATTATGGCATGAGTATTAAAAATGAATATATTTCTTCAACAAGAGAAAGTGCAAGCCAGTGAATTATGAAATATAACACTTTAAGTAAAAGTAAAGCTTTCTTAGGCTCAGAATAGGCAAAGCGATTCATTCACTGAGTTAATGTTCATTGAATGCCTACTATGTATAATTCTTCTTATAAAATTATCCAATACTTCAAAGTATAGATCTCATTTTCTTTCTGGTTATTCCTATCTCCTCCTTTGCTCACTCTCAAGCCAAACCAAATTTGTCTTTGGGTTTTGAACATTCAGATTCATTTTAAGCCTGTGTCTCTATTTGCACTATGTTCAGTGCTTGACATGCACTGTTAGTATTTTGAGATCTTCATGGGCACACTAAGATTCTCTAGGTACAATAAAACTTTGACTTACTTTCACTTTTGCCTACTGAGTTGCCCCCCAGCCACCCTAGATTTTCACTGGAATCCCTGTGGTCTTTAATTTCATTGTGGTTTGTCCCACTTTAGACCTCAGAGTTGTTTATTTGATGCAATCCCTAAAGGATAGTCTGATGTTCATCGAATGTTATTTAAAGCAGAGTAACTGCTTAACTGTTGGTGGGGAGTATAAAACATATATATATATATATATATATATATATATATATATATATACACATGTATACATATACATATATATTTTTTCACTACCTACAGAAAACTTGACGAAAGATCTTCAGCAAACAATATCTCAACACTACTGCATTGTTGGTGGGAGTGTAAACTTGTTCAACCACTTTGGAAAGCAGTATGGAGGTTCCTCAAAAGACTTCACATAGAGCTCCCCTATGATCCAGCAATCCCACTTCTGGCCATTTACCCAAATGATCACAAACAAGGCCATACTTAGGCTACCAGCACAACTATGTTTATTGCAGCATTATTCACCATAGCTAAGATATAGAACCAACCCAGATGCCCCTCAGTAGATGAATGGATCAAGAAAATGTGATATATATATAAAATATAATATATACAATATATATACATATAAAATGGAATTCTATGCTTATATCAGAAAGGATGACACCATCCCACTTGTAAGGAAATGGAAAGACTTGGAAAAAAAAACTTATTAAGTGAAGTAAGCCAGACCAAAAGAAATATAGGTCCCATGGTTTCCCTCATTTGCAATAATTAGTACAGGTCTAGGATAATTTTATATCAGATGAGCAGAAAAGCTCAAAAACTGTGTTACATATGACCACATAAGATGATGCTAAGTGAAATGAACCACGAGATATGGACACAAGAGGTCTTTCTTTGTTATTATTGTTTTTAATGTACTATGTGATTTTTTTGTTTCCTTTCTATGGTCTTCCTACTATGATATATTCTTGTTGTCACTGTACTTGATTTTGGTACCCTACATCTTGTATATACATTTATCTAATTTGGGGAGTGGAAGGGGAATAACAAAATTCTGAAACAAGGACACAGGATGACCCATTGCAACAATGATACCCACAAAACAGCATATTGGAAATTTACTTTACAACTTCAGGGTGGTGGAGGGGGTATAAGGGAGGTTGGGGAGGGAATAGATAGTGGGAGAGCACAAGGGAGGGGCTAACAATGCTGGATAGGAAATGTACTCATTGCCTTACTCATGTAACTGTAACCCCTCTGTACAGCATCTTTACAATAAAATAAAATAAAGGAACTGTAAAATGTTATAAGGTAGAAAACAGTAGAAACAATTTATTGTGCACTTTCTACTACTGACACTGAGAATAGTAATTTGAAAGCAACAGGAGAGGTGATATGAATTAAATAGGTTTAGAATTCCGGGCATTAAAAAAAAAAATCTGGATTGCTTCTCTGTAAGTAAGGCAGAGAAAGAGATACGCAAGATTTTTTTTTCAGCAAAACTATGCCATCAAATTTAATTTAAGGAATGTAACTGGCATTGTCTTGTTCTGTAAGTCAAAATGAAACTCAGGTATGTGGTCCATTCCTATAATCCCAGCACTTGAGAGGCTGAGCCAGGAGGATCACTAGTCTGAGTCATGCCTGGACTACACAGTGACACTTGTCTCAAAAACAACAGACAAAGAAAAAAAAATAAAGGAATTGGGAGTCACCATTTCAGTTTGTTGTGATCTTATGAGCCAGCATTGAAAGGTCAGTGTAGAAGTCTACTAAAACAGAGTTAGAGAATTAGAGATGGGAGCTGTAATCCTAGTTGCTCAGGAGGCTGAGATTTGAGGATTATGGTTTGAAGCCAATTGGGGCAGAAAAGTCTATGAGACTCTTCTCTCCAACTAATCAGCAAAAAGGCTGAAGTGGAGCTGTGGCTCAACTGGTAAAGTGCTAGCCTTCAGCAAAACAACTCAAGGACAGAACCCAGGCCTTGAGTTCAAGCCCCAGGACTGACAAAAGAAAGAAAATCATAAGTAGAAGTCACATGTTTTGGACTTTGGGACTAATTAGATATGAAAGTTGTAACTAAGTGGGATTACTGAAGAAATCAAAGATTCTGGGTCCAGGAGCATTGAATAATAGCATGTTGAAACTCTGAACAGAAAGAGAGGCAGAAATTGAGATGTCCATTGATACTAAATTTGTGGTTTACTAAAAAAAACCATTGTGAATTCCTGAGTATGTATAGTAAATTGTGCCCTCATCTATGTGTGAATAAAATTGTAGTATGAAAGAAATCACATTTTATCCTCTCCTGGAAACTAGCTGAGATGCTGTCAGCTAGAGAACTGGCAGATTCATGACAGTATCATTGGTTAAGTGATTCTAGTTGCCTGAAGTGAGAGTTCAAAACTAAGTTCAAAATGAACTTGATCATTGAACCTGACAATCAAATTATAACTATTAAGGAAACACTCATACTAAACATCATCCCCCCTGCTGCCAAGGGAAACTGAGGCAGGTATATTCTAGGCATGTGCATAAAGATACAGCCTTGGCCCATGAGTTTTTGAGAAAAACTATATAGCCCTTATAGCTCAGGCTGTCCTGGAACTCACTCTGTAGTCCAGGCTGGACTCCAGCTCACAGTCCTTCTGTTTCCATTTCTCAAATGCTCCAGATTATAGATAAATGCTGCCAGATCTAGTCCAAAATCAATTTAAATATGCATGAATTTAAAAATAACTTTATGTGTTGACTGTAACTCTGTATTCTACTGTAGCTGTTCACTTTACAGATGCCTTTGATTTAAGCACACTTGAGAAGATGGTTAATCTAGGTCCTAAAGGAAGTTGTGTTAAGACAGCTCTGACTGTAAGGAAAGACTCCAGTATCCAAAGGTACAATCTTTGGGCCCTGGGGTTTTAGCTCAATGATAGGGTGTGCATTTAGCATTGCCAGCATCCAGAATTCCATCATCACTAGGCTGAAAAAAAGAGAAAGAGCACTGTAGAAGGAAAATAAAGAATGCAGGGTCAGGCATAATGGCCTATGTCTGTAGTCTCAGCACTTGGAGGCAGAGGCTCGCGAGCAGAGGCTAGCTTGAGTGCTGGCATGAGAGAGCAGCATGGGCCACACCGCAAGACCATGTCCTTCCCAACCAAGAAAGCAGAACACACTGTCCTCATCCTCACATGTTAAATCTTCCCTTTAAAATGAAAACAAAAATTCAGTTTTCAAATAAACATTCATGCAGTAGGCTTGACAGGGACCAAACCTCCTGACTTCAGTTTTCATAGCTGAGCATCTATTTGGGATCCATATGTGAGCAGCTACTAGAAAAGCTCCATTTTCTACTTAAACTGTATGTGGTTTTTTATTGTGAAGAATAATTGAAAATTACTTTTACAGGAAGGCTTTTATGGAAATACTGCATGTTATTTTTTGAATAGGACCTCTAGTAAATATTTTGCCTAGCTGGACTACAACTTTGATCCTTCTGATCTTTACCTCCGGAGAAGTTATGACTACAGGTGTGAGTTGCTGGTGCCCTTCCCTTCCCTTCCCTTTCCCTTCCCCTTCCCTCTTTCCTTTGCCTTCCCTCTCATTTCCCTTTTTCCTTCTTTTCTCTTCTTTTCCCCTTCCTCTTTTACCTTTCCCTTCCCCTTTCCCTTCCCTTCCTTCTTTTTCTAAACAGAAATAACAATATGCCTAATTGGGAGCTACATTTAATTCAAGAGGTCAAAAACGTTTGTAACTTAGTAGCCTAGTTTTTGTATTTCTGTCAAAGATATTTTCTAAGTTCAGCTCTGAAAGAATCAGTTTAATGGGACTTGACCAATTCACAATGTTACCTAGCAGATGGTACAGGACTTTGTCATGAAGTCAGTTTTAAATTGTAACATTACTTATTTTTTTCTCTCTTTAGATGCATATCCAAGCAACCATGCTCACCCATTCTGCATCCATGAAGGTGGGGATAGAGGGAGTCAGATAAAGAGGGGAAAGTTCAGTTTCCTAATGGAATTAGAGGACTGAAATCAAAGCAGACCATCAGAGTTCTCTTGAGATCTCTGACTGAAGTTTACAATGCAGAACTACAGCCAAAAGTAGTGTTGGTGAGGAAGCTCATCATTCCAGAAGTTTCCTTCCTTTATGTTTAATGAAAAAAACGAGTAGCTCTAATGAGACTTTCCACATTCAAATGTAAATGTCAAGAATATTCTAGAGTTCTTTCTGTGTTTATTCTGGATGCCTCAGAAGAAAACACTGAACTTTGTGAAAGTTCACTTTGATAGCAGCCTGTCAAAATTCAATCCCTTCCCAGCACCTGACCACTTGTTTTGAGTTCTTAGAAGGAGTAATCACCTTTAGAGCCAGAAACCTATGTGCTTTCTCCATTTGGTGAACATAGTAGATATTTCTTGATTGTGTAATCCCAGTGCCATGATTTGAAACAAGTAAATAAGCAAACAGCAAAACTAAGC